GGGCGGGACAGAGGGAGAGGGAGAGCATGGAGCCTGATGCAGGGCTCAATCCCACAACCCTGGAATCATGACCTGAGCCAAAACTAAGAGTTGGGCACTTAACTGACTGCACCACCCAGGCACCCCATATTTTTCCTTAAATTCTGAATGATAACCTTGCCAAGTAGAGTATTCTTGGTTGTAGGTTTTTTTTCCTTTCAGCACATTGCAGGCAAGGAGGGAGTGGCGTGATATAGTTACAGTTTCTGCTGAAAAATCAGCTGATGGCCTTATGGGGTTTCCCTTGTACTAGTTGTAACTTGTTGCTTCTTTCTTCTGGGTTTTAAAATTCTAGCTTTATCTTTAATCTTTGACATTTTAATTATTTTGTGTAGACCTCCTTGGGGTTCATCTTGTTTGCTTCCTGAACCTGGATGTCTGTTTCCCTCCACAGGTTAGGGAAGTTTTCAGCTCTTTTTTTTTTTTTCAAGTTTTCTGCCCCCTCTTTTTCCAGCTGGAACCCTTATAATGTGATTGTATGTTTGCCTGATGTTGACCAAGAGATCCCTTTACCTGGCCTCACTTTTAAAAATCCTTTCTAATCCTGTCTCCCAGATCACGGATATGTGCATTCTTCTGCATCTACTAGTTTGTTGTTGATTTTCTCTAGTGTATTTTTCATTTCAGTTATTGTATTCTTCAACTCTGGTCATTTTTTATATTTTTCATTTCTTTGGTTTAGTTTTGAGTTCACCAACTTTTTTCTCCAGGCCAGTGAGCATCTTTATGATCATTACTTTAAACTCATCAGGTAGATTGCTTATCTCCATTTCATTTAGTTCTTTTTCTGTGGTTCTGTCTTGTTATTCTGACTTTGTGTTTGTTTCTGTGAACTAGGTGGAACAGCTACTTCTTCCAAACACAAAGGAATGGTCTTGTGTATGGTCATCCCCTGTGTAAACTGTGTGTTCCTGGCTCTTTGGCTGGCTCAAGCTGTGACTGGTGTGGGCTGGGGTTCCAGGGCTCACTCTGCTGAGGGCACCCTGACAAAACTGTTAAAGCTGAAGTGGGTACAAGCCAGGGGGTCCTGGGGTACTCACACGGGGTGCACCCTGGTAGGTGGCTGGAACTGAGGCAGGTACTTAGCTGGGTGTTCTCAGGGTGCTTTCTACAGGGAGTGCTCTGGCTAGGGTGGCTGGACCTGAAGCAGGTATGAGTCAGGGTACCCTAGCAAGTCATCTGGAGCTGAAGTGCAATAGGCCTGAAGTGTTCCAAGGTACTTTGCTTCTGTGATACCTTGGTAAGGTACCTAGACCTATAGTGAGCACTGATTAGGCACAATGCAGTGTGTGCTGTGCTGGGGCCACTCTGGTTGGACAGTTGAAGGTGGTGTAGGCTAGGGTCCCATGATTCACTGAGGCAATAAGCTAGGGCTCCCAGCTCCTGCTCCTATCCATGCTATCAAGATGGAGGGAGACTGTAAAGTATGGTGGTCACCAGCCTCTCTGACCTGGAGAGAGTTCCAGCAGCTCTCCTGACATTTGGCAGCATTCTAGGGCTGGATCCTTTATATCCTTGCTGCTCTTTTAAAACACAGCTCTTTTTGTGTGCCCCAGGGCATGCAGGACTGGTCTGGTCTAGGTGCCCAGGGCTCGCTGGGGTGGCAGCCTGGTTATTCTATCCAGACCCTGTTCCCACCTGTGCTATCAAGGTGGAGGGGGAATGTAAACCATGGTGCTTGCCAGTCCCTCTGACCCAAAAAGAGTTCCAGCAGTTCTGCTGCCATCTGGCAGAGTTCTAGGGCTTAATCTTTTATATTCTAGTTGCTCTTTTAACCACAGCTTGTTTTCTGTGCTCCAGAGCAATGAATCCACGTACAGTCCCTCAGTACTATCCCTCCCCTGTGCGGTTTGCAGCATCAGGGATAGAGGTCTCCTTCATTACAGTGTCTCCACCTCTCTTGCCCTTCTCTGTGTTCTGTCATGTTGTACAGAAGCTGCTACTTCAGCCCTCAGGTCTTCAGGAGGAACTGCACTATAACTAGCTGTGGATTTGGTGTGTATGTGGAGGAAGTGTGTTCAGGGTCTTCCTGTATTGCTATCTTAGACCAGAAGCCCAGCCATTGTTGCTTTAAATGTACTTTCTACCCTTTTCTCTTTTCCTTCTTGAATTTCCATAATGCCGATATTGTTTCTTTCATTGTGTCCCATAAGTTCTATAGGCTGTGACCTCACTCTTTTTCATTTTTTCCTTTTTGTTTTTCTGACTGGATAATTTGTGCAGTCATCGAGGTTGCTGATTTTTTCTCATGCATAGTCAGGTGTGCTTTTGACGCACTCATATCGAATTCTTCAGTTATTGTATTTTCCAGCTCTAGGATTTTATTTTTTTGATAGTTCCTGTTTCTTTGTTGAACTTCTCATTTTATTTTTCATTTTCCTCATTTTGTTTAGCCACCTATGTGTTTTTGTAGTTCACTAAACTTAAGAGGGTTATTTTGAATTCTTTGACAGTTCACAGATCTCCGTTTCTCTAGGGTAATTAGTGCCTTAATTAGTTTGCTTTGGTATGGTCATATTTACCTGACTTATTGTGATGATTGATCACCAGTGAACTACTTTGGTATCTGCAAGTGGTAAGTGATCTCCTCTCCCAGACTTTGCAGGTTCATTTTGGCAGAGAGTTCAACAGCTCTGTTCGGGTTTCTGAACGTGTCTACTGGTAACATCTTTGGGCAGGTAGGCCTACTGTTAGGGGCTATTTTGGGGGCATGGCAAGTGTTTAAGCTCTGAGGTCAGGGGTGTGTGGGTGTGCCACTGACTGAGAACAGCTGGGTAGGACTGCTGGCTTGGTTTCCTTTCCAAGTGAGGCTGTAGGATGGGCACCACAGTTGCCTGGATTCTCTGGGTAGTCTTACTAGATGGTCACGACTGGGTGTTACACTCAGCAGTTAAAGTGGGGTTATGAATTAGCTGCCCTGCCCTGCCAGGGCAGCAAGACAGGACCCAGGGCCTGCATAGTTTGCTGTCTGGGGACCTGAATTGAGTAAGAGTGTGCATTGCATAACCTGGGCAGGTTGAGGCTACCAGTTTTGCTCTGCAGGCAAGGAAAGCCCCAGGGTGTGTGCTCTCTGGGAGAAGGGCTACTGGATGGGCCATGCAATTTCTGATGCGTTCTGGTGAGGTTCCTTGGTTGGCGGGGCTGAAGCCTCTTTAGCAATGAGTGGGGCTATGGATTAGTTTCCCTGCCTGGACACAGCAGGAGAAGCAGCTCAGAGGCCAGTAAGGCTCTTTGTTGTCCTTACCCTAGCTGACTCATGCGACAGTTTTTCTGGCCAAACAGGACCCCTTGCTTTGCTCTGAAGGCAGTCAGCTCTATGCACCTACTCCTCAGCCTGAGAGTTGCCAAGTCATGTAGCTTACAGGTGTTCTCCCCGGCCCTTCCTGTCACATGGGCCTAGGGACTACTTGCCACAGCCTCGAGCTCCAACTCAACCTCAACTCTTTTGCCTGGGAGGGCCCCCTTTAGGCAACTTTTAATTTTTCCCATCAGGCTTTCTGGTTGAGAGGGGCCAGGAGCCAGGCTCTACAGAGCGTGGGACTAGGACTCAGTTTTTCTGCCCAGGGAAGGGACAGACAAGGCTCCAGGGCTGATAAAACTCATCTGAGGACCCAAATCAAGCAGACCTGAACCCTGCTGCATTCCCAGGGGTCAGACGGTACCCCTGACTCGGTTCTGCAAATGAACAGAACCACTGTTCTACTTGGGCACAGCCGGTGTGCACTAGGTCTGCCCAGATCCAAGTGCTGCTTGTGGGAAGCCCCCTCCCTGCTCCTCTGTCCCAATCAGATTCCCAGTTTTTGAGTCCCACAGATTTCCCTATACTCACGAGGAGGCAAAGCCAGCTCCCTTGAAGCAACCCCCAATCCTGGATATCACCCCTGGGCTCTTGGAAGACTTCCAAGTATGGTGTCGGTCACTAGCCAGGGACGGGGCATTATGGTCAGCATGTAGCCATGACTCTACCCTTTTGGTGTGGTCTCTCTTGTTCTCTGTGATGGCATCTTGGTGATATCACTTCTTGCACGTCTTAGAAATCCTGAAATGTAGTAGTTAAAAGCTGGTTCCTAGTTAATGCACCTGGCTACCACTTTATCACATTGTAGATCCACCCTGAGGCACATGGCTTTGATAGAGCCAGACCTTTATTTCCCACTAGGAACCCAAGGCTCCAAATGAGGAGAGCTGGCCTTAGGCAACTCCGTTTGCCATCTGTTAACACGAAGAGCTGAGAAATCGCTCTCCCCTGATAAACTTTAAGAAATAACATGCATGCCCTTTGACAAAGCAATTTTCAGATAGCTCTCTGTGGCAAATGAACTCAAACAAGAGGGTAAAAAAAGCTTTTATATATAAAGATATCTCCTAGTATCTTTATTTTTTTACAACTGCAAAGCAATCTAAATGCTTGCCAATAGGCAACTAACTTATTGTGTGAGTGGAGAATGTCTTAAGTTAAAATGTTAAATGAAGGGAGCAAGATGCAAGTTTGTACATACATGATTGCAGTTATATATATAATTGCAGTTCTATAAAACTAGAAACCACTAACTTGTGCCTGGAATGAAGACTAGAATATATAAAAAGTAGGCTATCCTTGAACAGATTCTATAATGTGTCATCCAATGAAGTATTACAGTAAATGTTGACTTCTAAAAGACACCACTCAAAATTACAGTAGTGGTTTATTGTCCTCTTATGCTTGCAGACCATAATTGTGCCTATAAATACTGTAAATATTGCCAACCATTTGAGATGTGTTGTTTATTTTGGGTTTAGCATGTTGACCTTAGAGTCTTGTACTAAAATGACCTTGTTAAAAGGATTCCACAAAATAATTTCATGGATTCCTTGATTTCCTTTTTTTTGTTTTGTTAGTTTCCATCTACAGATCTTCATGGGGGAGGATTAAAAACAACCTGAAATATAAAGTTAAGGAAAAAAAAAATGTCTCTTTACAGGTATTCCATTACCCAAAGAAGACATTTCTGCCCCTGTGATCTCTAGCTCACCAGTGAAGGAAGCCCGGGAGTACGAAAATCCCCCAAGTGAAGAGGAAGAGAAAATGAGAGAAGAGCCCCTGACCATCTCTGAACTGGCCTACAACCCAAGTGCCAGCCTGCTCCCCACCCCTGTGGATGATGACGAGATTGACATGCTCTTTGACTGTCCATCGAGGCTGGAGTTGGAAAGAGAAGACACAGATTCATTTGAGGAACTGGAAGCAGATGAACATGCCTTTCTGATGGCCGAAGAAGAAGAGCTGAAGGAGGCTCGCCAAGCTTTGTCGTGGAGCTATGACATTCTGAGCGGCCATATTCGGGTGAACCCACTGGTCAAGAGTTTTTCCAGGCTCCTGGTGGTGGGCCTGGGGCTGCTGCTCTTTGTATTCCCCCTGCTCCTCCTCCTTTTGGAGTCAGGTATTGATCTCTCCTTCTTATGTGAAATCCGCCAGACGCCAGAGTTTGAGCAGTTTCACTATGAATACTACTGCCCTCTAAAGGAGTGGGTGGCTGGCAAAGTAAACCTCATTCTCTACATGCTGGGTTGCTCATAAAATCCGTATCTTATATGACTAAGGGCTATATTCAATACTAGTGATTAGTTGTTTTTTTTTTTTTTTTAGCAAATGCCTGGTTCTGAAGGGTCACAGGGCCATGACCAGGTGTTCCTTACTCATAACTGATTACTGAAAACTAAGTTAGCTTTCCATAATTCACTGCAGTTAAATAAGTTCAAGTCAAATACAGTTATTTTAGTTACAGGTCAGGAAGATGGCCTTTAAATAACCAAAAATATGTTTATTTTTTATTATACTACAGACATTATCTATTATATCATAATACATTGAGCTGAATTAGATTTCCCCTTTTTTAATAGTTAGCACCATTATAAGGTTCAGAACCAGAATTTTAGTAACAACCCAAGAGAAAGTTTTTGAATATAATCCTTAGTGAAAACAACATCCTCTAACCGATGCCTATACAACTAAATTTATGCTGGGCTTTTGTTTTCTGTTTTTTTTAAAAATATTTTTATGTGTTCAAAATATTTTGGTAAATTTTTAGCAAAAAAAGAAGCCTCCTGGAGTTATTTAAGTGTACAGATTGTAAGACTAATGCACAAAGGGTATGTCAGGAATTTTTTAATGTTTTGGCACTGGTTTGTTTTTTACAATATTTTTGGCTGAACCAATGGCATAATTTGTTGTTACCTGTGTATGAGATAGAGAAAATAGGTAGAAAGACACTGTAGTAAGTAAGCTCTTGAAATGGATGATGAAACTGGAGGATGTAAAAACAGAGAAGACTCAAGTGGACATAGGGTGGTCCATTTTTTCCAAAGTATTTGGACAAGATGACTTACTACCTTCATTTGCATTCCGTCCATATATTTTGGTTGGGGAAGCAGAACATTTTTAAAAGAGTGAAATTTTAAAGGAAAAAAGTTAAAAGTTACACTAGTTCATTGCATATTATTGTACATTAAACCCACGAGTAGAAGCAGTTGGGCATTGGGCAAGTAGCGAAACGGTTCTGGTGAGGCTGGTATGCAAGGGGTGGTAGGCAAACCATCTTTTATGAAAGTGGTGGTGATGCATGGCATTGGATGATGTAAAGAATGTGCACGTGCTGTCCGAGTTGACATAAATATGTTGAAGTGGATGTGAATAAAGGTGGAGAAACCTTAAGGCATATTTTTTGGGTCCCTCATGCCATTCATTGATTCAATGGAAGGAATTTCAAAAGAAGTGTGTGTAAGAGAGAGGATATGAAAAGAATGGAGTTTGGCTTTTTGATAAATGCTGATGATCTTCCTTTGTGGTGGCCATTATCCTCTTTTCCTTTCCTGGTTTTCTTAAGATCTTAACTCATTTCTAATTGGGGCTTCCATTAAGAAAGTGGAAGGGACTCATTAGAGGATCTAGCATTTCAGTATAGGTGAAATAGTAAAAGGGCTCTCTAACCAGATAGCAGAGGGAACAAATGTTCTAGTACCTTCCTTCATACCATAAGCTCCACCACAGAAAGAAAGGCTCTGATGCTTCCCCAGGCAAAGTACTTACCAATACTGTGATATAACAGAAGGAGAAAGAAAAGAGTATGGAGCTCAGGGCATAGTGCATTGGAATTTCTCCATGGACTGAGAATATTCTATTGCCTTCATTAACAAAGAGATTGGGCGCCTGTATTCTCTCATTAACTGTAATAGACACTCCAACTCTATCATTAGCATCATTTCTAAATTGGCCATTCATGGGAGCTCTGAGTGCTCGATTAGACATTTAAGTTTGAACATAAGTTTTAAAAGCCTTCAGTTGAACAAACTAGAATATACATTTGCTATTAAGTTTGTAAGGTGTTCTCTCCCATGTGCTTTCAGTGATTTATTTTGCTTTTTATTGAAGAATATTTAATACCTGAAATTTGATACCAACATAGAATATTTTCTATAGTTTATGTTGGAAGTTTTCAAATGGCCAGCTTTGAAATTGAACCCCTTTGTTATGACTTCCAAGTCTGATGTTCTGACAAAAGGGTACCCCAGTGTAGTCTGCACAGAATTAGTCCCCCTTGTAATCATGCTTCATATCATTTCCTTTGAAGTTCTAACCATAACCAACCTAGCCCCTGCCCTTTTAAAGTAATATTATTTTTTTAATTATGGAAATATATGGCCCATCATAAAACGCTAAAAAATACTGACAGGATCAATACCACACAAAATCCAACCATGCGGATTTATAGTGGGGAGTAATCAATATATTTTAACATTTCCAGCTAACATCTCTTTTAGGCAAAAACGTCATTATTGAATAGAAAGGTTTTTAAGCGAAGGAGTTAACAGAATAGGGTCTGCTGAATTTAAGCAACAGCCACCAAACATAAAACTGGGATCCTAAGATGCCATTTTGTCACGATAGAATCAGTGTTTTAGAAATATCCACTTCAGTTTTGTTAGGAGAGAGTCGCCTGCTGCCTGAATCAAATGAGGAGAAAAGTGCTTCCAAAGATGGAGAGTATATAACATAGTGAGATACAGAATTCAAAGCAAGTGTGTGAGTATATGTATATTCCATATTATTGGTATAGGTGTGTTTAAATATGAATCTGTATATATGTGTGTATTTGTATACACACAACTGATATGCCTTTCAAACATAGTTGTGTTTATTTTTCCCCAATTGAGGAGTTTGTGACATGTTGTTCTTCCTTTTCCCTCTCAGATATCATGGGATAAAACCCACAGTCTCAAAGGTTTCAATTTTCCATGAAAACACCAGTGTGTACATTTGTGGTTATATATACACATATATATGGCAAATACATATACACACACAATCTTGTCTTTAGTGCTAATGCAAGTTGGATCATGAAAAAAATGTAGGTAAAGTATCGTGTATTTCTGTCTGTGCTTGGAACATACTGTAAAATGTTATGTATTTGGAATATATTCTGTGGTTTGTCTAATATTTATAAAGACAACTCTGGGAAGAATTCAAAAGTTGATTTCATTGAAATACTAGAGATATGGGGGCCATGTTACCTGTGATTGGAGCCTTATCTTTGTATAGTAAAAATCTGCATTTCTATGTCAACATCCAGATTGTTTTATATGTTAATATGGTGGCAGGAATCCCTAATAAAAATACTCTGGGGAAAAATGTTTCTGCAATCATTTAGTTTTATTCAGGCTATTTATGCAAATTTACTTTGTTGGAACTACAGAAAGGTACCATATAGGACCATGAATGAGGTCACCCTTGAATGGTGATAGTATGAAAAGAAAATCACAGGTAATGGATGGGATTAATCCTTTGCAGAAGTCACTCAGGCTAAAACCAGGGATATTGAGGGTACTGAAAATGGACCCAAACATAAAAGATAGCCATAGCATTAAGATAACTAGAGAAAGAGCAGAGCATGGAGGAAATAGATGAGAGGTGTTCTTCATTTTAGATAGAAGGAAGGAGTTCCCAAATGTTAAAAACTAGTAGGTCATCAGTTCTGGCAGAAAAGGCTGCTTTCCTGTGCCAGGGAGAGCTACATCAGACTCAACTCTCCCACACTTGCCATGAAACTTTGATCTGTTCATGGACCCTGGAAGAACCTTATTCTTCCACTCTTGTCTTCCCCTCCAAACAGCATGGCCTGAAAGGCCTACTGCTTTGGTTTATCACAAAGCTAACAACTCCATCCCTGACTGCTAACTCAGAAGGTGTTACTGCGAATGAAGCAAAAGGAGCCCTCTCTAACAGGAGGAACACCACGATGTCAAGCCAAATTGTACCTCAGCTGTGGTGGCCTCTTAAGTCTGTCAATCTCTGTTTTACTGAGCTATAATTGACATAAAATTGTATTAGTTTTAGGTATACAACATGATTAGGTATCTGTATGTGTTGTGAAATGATCGCATGAAAAGTTGAGTCAATATCCTTCACCTCACAGAATCACAAAATTTTTTTCTTATGATGAGAACTTTTAAGATCTACTCTCTTAGCAACTTTCAATACAATACAGGATTGTTAACTAGAGTCCCCAATGTTGTATATTGCATCTCCAGCCAGAACTTATTAAAACTGCAAGTTTGTACCTTTTGATCACCTTCATCCATTTCACCCACCTTGCGGGGTAGGCTGTGGTGGAGTGGTCTGTCAGGTTCTTACTCAGCAGTCGTCAGAGGTCCAGGCTGTAGAGTACAGGCAAGAAAAATAATTCTGTGGTTATTATTCAGGCATGAGGTGACTTAGGGACCTACAGTCCCAGCTCCAGCAGCTGTAGACAGCACCATTGTTTGGCTTAGTGTCTGCAGACTGGAAGGTTCACATGAAGTGACCCTTGGCTACTTACTCCTTGAGCGGTCCAGGCTCCTGACCCAACGTCACCTCTTGGGAGAAACCCTTTTCCTTATTCCTCCATTCTTTGCTTAGCCAAGTAGGGAAAATCTCTGCTAACCACATGCCAGCCTGGAAGGAAAGTACTGGGGAGAAGCTTCCACCTCTGAGGTGACCTCGGGATGGTTGTGGTTGATGAGTTTGAGACTCTTTGGGCCATCTTTCTCTACTGGGTGGAGATCATGTACTAAAGGTCCCTGCTTACTTGTCCTCCTGCTTCTTCTCTCTCTCTCTCTTTCTCTTGGACCTGCTTTTGGGCTTCCAGTCTACATGCAGTAAACAGACCCAGCAGGACCTGCCCGTGGTGGGCCCAGCCAGGACTCGGCTCTCCACCTTCCAGCCTCGGTCTGTGATGGGTGGGTAAGTTTGGCAAGCCCCGCCCAGTGGGCTCAGCTGTCGTCACTTCCGAGAGGACAGAAGAAGCCCTCACCTGGGTGTCAGATCCCAGCTGTGTTCTCCAATCCATTAATAAAATGGATTTTAACCCTCTCCTGGCCCTTGTGTCTACTGTCTACTGGGAACTGGGGTGGTGGCTGGGGGCAAGATTCACACTAAGTACACTCAAGAATATTTAGGATCTCTGCCACCTCCAATGTCGCCAGCAAGGAAAGAAAGGAGAAGGCTGCTTCTGGCTGAACCTTAGGCATCAGGGGGTATCTGCCACTGCCACTCGCCCTGACTGGCCTTGCAAGTGGATGAGGGAACTTGAGACTTAGTATTAGGGGTTAGTTGGAACCACACATCCCTATTCTTTATCCATAGCTGATGCTTACCCCAAATAACTCCTTGGAAAGAGAACCAAGGCCACTTTCCTGGTTATAAAGGAAAGCTCGTAGTAGGACAAAGGATATACCTTCTGTGGGTACGAAGTACTGAAACTTGTCTTGCGAATTACAGCAGCTCCTCCAGCTAACACTGGTCACCTTGAACTTCCTCATCCACAAGAATAATGATCATGAAAACTGGCTTTCTGAGGAGACCATTCTTCAAGGGAGAGAACACACTAACAAACCCACATTTGTTTCCACTCTGCTTGGCAGTCTTCATAATAAGTTAAAAATTCAGCATTCTGGTTTAAGCATCCATCTCCTGTGATTTCCTTGGTGAGAATCAGCTTCCTCCCATCCTGGATCAGCCCAAGTGTCCTGACAACCCTGACCTGCTGGTTCTGCAAAGGTGCAAACCAGACCTTGAACACTGGTGGCCACATAAACATACTGCTTCCTGGTCATAGGGTTCCTATATAATTCAGTGTCCAAACCGGAACTCTTTTGAGAGTGAAAAGGGGTGTTTTTAATGATTATGTCACAACATCAGGTATTAGCTAGGATGACTCCAGACACACTACCTGTAAGCCTTGGCTCAATCGCCTAGGTGCCGTCTTTCAACAACCACTCCAGCTTCTTTCTCTAAAATATTGACAAAATAAGATAGGGAAGGATTATTGCCTGATACTCATATTCTCCTCCTTGCCATAAAAAATCAGATTGAAATTTACCAAAATTTGTCCTATCACGTGGTTTGGTGTAAGACTATAAATTACACAGAAGACCATTTTAAATGAGCCTCTGGTACTGAATATTTAATGCTGTATTCACCATTTATAATGTGGAATTTTTTTTTTTAATGTGAGGCAGGTGGGTTAGAATGATCTCAATGCTCCTTTTACCTCCATACTTCTGAATTTGACATTTCTGATCTGTACATACAGAGAACACTGGTGATCAGTTTAACTGTAAGCAACTGTTCACACTAAGTACACGCAAGCCAACTCGATCATTTACACCGAGAAATGTTAGCCAGCTTGGCACTTGTTTGATGCTAGATGCTCCATATGTGCTCTTCCCAGAACATAAGCTGTAAAGTGAACCAAACGTTATCAAGCACAAGGAATCACAGCTGGAAAGTGGCCTTTTAAGGCAGTCGGCCTCAACTGACCAGGTGTTCCCATGGCCATGTCTATCTTAGAAGGCCTGGGGACACATTATACACATTTTACTGCAAGTCTCCCATTTTGTGAATTTCTTGTGGCAGAGACTGGCAGCTGAACGCCAAAACAATTTCCTCTTCATCTTGTACACGGACTTAGACTACACTTCCCAGTCCCTGTGTACTTAGGTAGGCCGTATTCCTGAGTTCTGGCCAATGGAATTTGGCCCTGGGCTAGGTGTAGGCCTCCCTTTTGGCACTGGATGTTAGCACCTGCAGTGACCTTGAGGCCAGCTGAGCATATTAGAGCTGCCAACAACTTGGATGCTTGAATGACTGTGTGCAGCAGAGCACCTCCCATTTCCCCCTAAACCAAACCCATCTTGGAGTACTTGAGCAACAAAGTCCCAACTGGGCAATTTCCAGGTCCGTTGCTGTTACCACTCCTTCTCCTACTATTCAAGTTGGCTGTCCTGCCCAGTGAAGGAGAGTAACCTGAAAGCAGGTGTAGGAACTGCCCAGCACTGGAGTCTCCGAGGAGATTCTACTGGAGAACCACTCTACAAAGGGGAGGAGGTGCCCCTCTGTACCTAAAAGTGCCAAACCTGGGTGGGGCCCTATTTTTGGTGCTAATGTGTCTTGTTACTCTTGCTTTCAGGGGCTCAATTGGAACTGTCCATTATTAGAACCCAAGGTAGCCACCCCCCTGACGGGCAAAATCACCCTTGGTTGAGAACTCCTGGGTTCAGGAGTGGTTTCATGGGCATGTAACCTATGAACTTGTATAGGGCCCTGCTCTCAAAGGTTTGGTTTAATGCTCTGCTATCACAATCTTGAAATTCTTAATAATTTTTATATTTGAAGTTGTGTTTTGTAAGTGAAGTCCAATGGGACAATGAAATGTGATAGAGATCAGTCAGGCAACAGTAGGCACTGCCATAACTGTGCAGCTGGCCTGGATACCAGGCATGCACACGTACATACATGGGGCAGTCTAAGGTACCAGGGGGCCTCTGAGGGGACTTCCTGCACCAGAACCTGAGCCCAGATTAATGGCAAAGGAGGCAGCTGCAGCTGAAAGGATCAGAGGTATTCCATTTTTGGGTGGCACTGGAGCCCGTGGTGGGAGGCCAGCTTGCCCATCAATCTCTGGAACCCATCCTGAAATATCTGCATTGATATCAACTCTGGCCTGAGCACTGGAACAATATCTGCCACCACTTAGGCAGTCAACTCTGTTAGTAACTTAGCACAACATAAAAGTGTACACCTAGACATTATAAAACTATACCAGAGAGTCATTAGAATTCTTCAGAGTTTAGCATTTCTGGTTTGTGAAAACCACTGCAACATTGCAAAACAAATACCCACAGGCTTGGAAATAGAAACTAAATGTAAAGATCCTCACATTCCACAGAAACTACACGCCCTCCCCCCTGCTATTTTCATATAAAAACTTTAATGGGCCACTTACGAACAGACAATTATAAAATAGTTTTCCCTTGTGATTGAAGATATAGCATTAGAGTTCATAAACAGGCATTTTAAATTATATATGAACCATGAATACATGAAGCCAACTTTCAGCTTCTTGTACAACCTCTACAAGTTACAGGAAAGATCAGAAGAAATATTAAAATGCCATTATATAGCGTAACATTTAAACCTAAATGCAGACTTACAAAAAACTGATTTGCAAGGAGATCTTTTTAGAAAAATTATTCTTCAAGAATAACCAGCTCTGGATGTACTCAAATTTATATTTCAAAATAATCTATCAGAACTTTATCCTAATGCTGTTAAGGTCTGTAAGATATTCTTAACAGCATCAGTAACAGTTGCATCAGCAGACCCTTCTTAAAACTAAAAGTTATCAAAAATTATTTGTGATCTCACATTTATCAAGAGCGATTGATGTTACTTTAATTGAAAAATGCAGTGAAAATAAGCTTAATAAATGAATTTGCAGAAAAATGAACCCTAAAAATGTTATGATCAAGATATTTATATATTGATATACATTGATATAAATTATTATTTATTGTGTTATACAAAATTATGGGATTAAAATATTGTTCTTTGTAATTTGTAACATCACATGTTGTAACAAATGTTGTTACTCATGTATCACTATATTTTATATTTTACAAATAATAAAATATTTAAAAAAAAAATCTTTTATACCTTTACCTGCACTTTTCAGCTGTATTCTGAAAAAGCTCCACATTTTCATTTTGCAGTGGACCATGCAAATTATGTCACTGACCCTGACTGGGTTAAGAGAATAGACAGTGGGAGCCCTAGAAGTGAATTTTTTAATGATTGGAATTGAAGATTTGAGTGTAAAATCCAAATGCATATGGCTAATGTTTCTTTCTTTGAAGAATTCAAAACCATCTAAATAATGATAGAGTCGATATTATAGAAAAGATTTCCCTTTCTTTATGAAAATAAGAATTGAATAATTTCACTTCATAATTTTTGTGAATAATTTGATTTTCTCAAACTCTGGTGATTATACTGGGTTAAACAAGGTACTTATAAGTGAAAGGATGGATAAAAATTGAGGTCAGCATCTAGGACTTAGTAAAGCCTTTTTGGTATAATTCTGTATAACTAAGAAAGTGAATGATCCTAACGAGTGTGACACATCCCTTTGCAGATCAGATCATTACTAATTCACTGCTTTCAATAAAATGAAAAGAACAGCTAGTTGAATAGTTAAGGGGTCGGTCATTAAAATGATATTTTATGGAAAAGTACTCCTAGAGTGCTGGAGTAGCCTTCAGAAAATCCATTCCTCCAAAATAGCAATGAGAACTGGCAAAAATTGTGAAAATCTACTTTTCCAGAACTCTGGAAATTAACCAAAGGCTTGCAAATAGCTAAGACAATTTATTCAAGGATAACCTGTTGAGTATTAGTAAGATCAGTGAGCTTTGTGGCATTTTTTTCTTGCCCTACACATCTCCCTCTCGCCAGCCCTGAAATATCCTTGAAAATCAACAACCTCACAACTATGATGGGTGTGAAAACAGCAGCATTGTAGCCACTGGAGGGGACAGAATGGGTTTGGAACTCCCTAATAGCCCAACCACAAGGAATTGTTTTACTTGTATGGCAGTTCCCTGAAAGGACCCATTCTGACTTCTCTTTATTTGACCTTATTCAGAGCTCTGTCTGTGCTCCCAGCTCCCCTCAGGCGCTTCTCAAAAAACAACTAGTGGCAATGGTTTAACTTAGTAGCTGCCTGAGGTGATGATCCAAGTTGAGTCTAAAAAGAACTTAACAAAGAAGAGTGACAGAATAAGATGGTGAAATGAGAAACCCCAGACCCTCTTTCCCTCATGGAGGTACTGACTTAACAATAATACACAAACCAGTCACCTCTGTGAGAAATCAAAAAAACAGTTAAGAAGTTTCTGCAACTCAGGTTAGAAGGATGCCAACTGCAATGAAGCTCTGTAGGAACATTTGTGGCACTCACTTGCCAGAGGCCCAACCTCTACTAGTGTGACATAATTGGGAGAGTACTCCCTACTCTTACCTTCCTCTGGGGAGGGAAAGAGAAGAGTAGAACATAAATCCAATGTTCTGACTTTTGGTGGAACTACTAAAGGGGCCTATTTCTGTACTGCTTGAATCTAAGGACAGGAACAGGGCACGAGTAGGGGGCAGTTGAGAACAAAGACAACTGATGTGCACCAGAGCACAGTACCACAGACATATACTGGGTAGAGAGCCAGTACCACAGCTTTTGGTAGCACCAGAGTGGCTGTAGTGCAAGAGAAAGACATCAGGGGAAGCTCCTCAGTAGAAACGAGCAAACTTCTTCAATTAGGAGATTATACAAAAAAGCCTAGAGAGGATACATTTCAGAAAGGGATTCAGAGGTCTCCAGAATCTCTAACCAGGGTGACTGGGGAATGTCCTCCCTATACAAAATCAAACAGCAAAGAGTGGAAAAGGTGGCAGATTTCATAAATCTGAAACCCAATATAAGATAAAAAGGCATATAAGGAAACAGGGAAACATGGCCCAAAAGACAAATGAAATCTCCACACACCAATGCTAGGGAAGCAGGGACATATGAATTACAAAACAAAGTATTCAAAATAGTCACCATAATTATGAGCAATAATGAAATCACAGACAACTAAACAAAATCAGGAAAAAGATGCAAAAACAAAAGGAGAAAAACAGATAGAAACTATGAAAAAGAACCAAAAAGGAATTTTGGAACTAAAGAATTCAATACCTGAATTGAAAAATTCATATGAGCAACTCAACAGAAGACTTGATCAGGCATGAGAAAGAATCTGTGAACTCAAAGACAACATTCAAAATTACTAAGGCCAGGAGCAAAGGTAAAAAGAATGAAGAAAAGTAAAGATAGGCTAAGAGATTTATAGAACATCATTAAGCAGAAAAACATACATATGGGAGTCCCAGCAGAGGAAGAAAGGGACAGAGAGTCTAT